ACTGCTCAACAGGGGAGAGAAGGGCGTGGTGTACTGCCGCAGCAAGTTGCAGTGCGAAGAGCTGGCTAAGGCGCTTGGGTGCGCGTGCTATCACGCTGCCGACATGGAGCGAGCGGAGCGGCTGAAGCAGTGGCTGATGGACGGAGGGCTGATCGTGGCTACGTCAGCGCTGGGGCACAGGGGTTGACTTCCCAGGGATCGTGTACATACTACACGTGGGGATGCTGTGGAGCATGATCGACTTCGCGCAGGAGAGCGGTCGAGGCGGGCGAGGTGGCGAGAGGGTGGATGCAGTAGTACTGGTGGAGCAGGGCGAGGTCGAGCGGATAATGAAGCAGAAGAGCAACAACTTAGACGTGCAGGCAATAGGCATGTTTCTATCCAAGATGGGTAAACCAACCGTACCTATGGTTGATTTAGGGTTGCAAATTTGTTAGGGACCAGGGCTACAGGTTTTGCGCGGATATCTCATCACGGGGTACAGTTGGTTTTCCTCCTAACTACAGTCGTTCTGCAACAACAGACTTAATCTACTTTAAACTTAGACATATAATTTGTAGTACTAACCTGCATTACCTGTGCAAGTTGTAGCAAAATTAGCTGCGTAGTTAATAGGGGTAGGGTTTGATGTTCATAGTTAGGGTTGCGCTAGCGCGGACAATAACTGCAGCAGAACGCAGAACAACAACACTGTAACACTAACGTGTTTTACAAGCGAGCGCCGCGTACAAGCAAGCGCTGCACCCTAGCCAAGATAAGGGCGCAGGGAGGACACCAAACCGCGGCAAAAGAGGCTTAGCGTTAGGGTTTGACCTCTTTTAAGCGATCTGCTTTGGTAGTCCCCCATAGGCTGGCGGATGGGTAGGGTATGCTTTTTTACGTTTTGGCTTATAGCTTCTTAACTAGCAGAGATACGCTTACATAATCTATTATTTAATAGAAGCGCCTAGTATTGCGCCTTCTAATAAAAAAAGAATTAGCTGATTCTGCCTAGTATTAGCTGAGTTATTAACACTACCTAGCAAAGTATACCTATCAATAGGTATGCTCGCTAGGTACCCCCCCTTTTTTAACATTTTCTAGCCTCTAGCTTGTGCAGTTTAATAGTTATAACAAAACCTTCTACTACAAAAATGTAGAGGTAGTTTTTCTCTTTCTTTTCAGCTGTAGTTCGCTAGAATCTATGTATTATTGATAAGGTTTTGGGGGGTACCCACAAAGGACGTTGGAGTATACCCATTCCGCCAGCCTAGTCCCCCACATTACCCTATCTAAGATAGGTAAACTAACTATACCTATAGTTAATTTAGGGTTGCAAATTTGTTAGGGACTAGGGCTATAGGTTTTGCGTAGATATCTTATTATAGGGTACAGTTAGTTTTCCTCCTAACTATAGTTATTCTGTAACAACAGACTTAATCTACTTTAAACTTAGATATATAATTTATAGCACTAAGTTCTAACCTACATTACCTGTGCAAGTTATAGCAAAATTAGCTATGTAGTTAATAGGGGTAGGGTTTAATATTTATAGTTAGGGTTGTGCTAGCGTGGAGAATAACTGCAGCAGAACACAGAATAACAACACTGTAGTTAACACTAGTTAACAGAAGAAGGTAACACATAAAATGCACAGCACAGAGCAATTGATTACAGCACGCTATGTGCCTGCAAAAGGCTTAAAGAGCTCAAGTAGGGTAAGCTGGCGCATTGCACGGGCGGCGGCAGGGCTCTTTGCAGTCCTTTGGGAGGGCGCAGGCTCCACGCTATCGTCGTTGCCATCTCCACTCTCTTCCAGCTCGCTGTCTTCTATCTCTTCCACCTGCGTTGCAGGCGCCGGCGCGCTTGCCTCGATTGAGAGCGTTGCTTTTTCGCTAATAGAGC